ACCCAGGGCCTCACTCTCTGCTGTATTCATAGCCACTTGTTTATTTCTTGAGACAGATCTCCCAGTGTAGCCCAGGCTGCCTTCACATTTGCTCTCCTCCTTCCAGGTAGCTGGGATTACAGGTGTGCATCACTGTACCCAGCCCAATATCTTGTGAACAGAGGAATGACCAAGAAATTATCACCTTAGGCAGGGTGTGGTGGCGCACGCCTGTAATCCCAACACTCGGGAGGCTGAGGCGGGGTCGGGGGGGAATCATTGTGAGTTTGAGACTAGCCTGGGCTACAAAGTGAACTCAAGGCCAGCCTGAACTGCATAGCGAGACCATATCTCAAAAAGACCAAAAAAAAAATATATCACCTTAGACCTGATTGTGGCCTTGGAAACCATGTAGGTCCCCTGCTTTACCTCACAGATTGGCAGCTAGAGTCTCAGAAAGTTAGAGGGACAGAGCATGACTGGGGTTCAGCTTAGCTCTTTCTACAGGAACACAGGTTAGAGAGAGGGGAGGTTAGGGACCTGGAGACCTACAGGGCAAAATAGAAGTTGATAAGTTTTTAGTATGTACCTGCTAAATCCAGTTTGTATGCTAAAGGTACCAAGAATAATAAAATGTGAGAGTCAGGCATGGTTCACATACCCATAATTTCAGCTACTTGGAGGCTTAGGAAGATCACAGGTTCAAGGCCAGCCTGGACAACTTAGCAAGGCTGTGTCTCAGAAAAGCCATGAAGAATAAGTATTATCCTATAGAGTCCTGAAACTAGCTGAGCATAATGGCACATGCCTGTAATCTCAGCATTAGGGAGACTGAGGCAGGATGATCACTGCAAGTTCAAGGCCAGCCTGAACTGCATGGTGAAAGCCTGTCTGAGAAAAAAGACCAAAAAAGAAAAAAAATAGAACCCTGAAACTGATGCTGATGTGTATACTAAAAAGATCCTATAAAGAATGTGAGGGGGAAAAAAAGGACATGTATGAACCAGGCACAGTGACAAACACCTGTAATCCATGCCACTTGGGAGGCTGAGGCAGGAGGATCACAAGTTCAAGTCTAGCCTAGGCAACTCAAAGGAGAGCCTATCTGAAAATAATTAAAAGAAGGGCTTGGGATGTAGCTTACCGGTAGACTACTTGCCCAACCTGCGTCGTCTTCAATCCCCAGGATAGAAAAAAGTACATAGTAATTGGAATATCCAAGGACAGCCAACACAGGAATGTGTTTAGCTGTGTCATTTCTGCCCTATGGGTGTGCTTGGGCTGGATGGTTGTGGGGTTCATCTTTGCCAGGAGTTTAGATCTCTGATAAAATGAAGTTGAGTGACCACCAGGCTTCTCTCTCTCCAGACTCACCCTCATGGCCTGAGTCACGGCTGGTGCTGGCTGGCACAGGTTGTGAACATGGAGCCTCTGTCTGATGTGACAGCCACCATCCTTTTTGACTTCTTGGAGGTACGTAGTTCAGTCCTCACACAGGAGAAAGCCAGTGGTCGAGGTGACCGCAGGACCCTGAGTGACATGAGTGGGGGAATAGTACAGAAATGGAGCCCAGCCAGGCATAGTGGGGTGCATACCTGTAATCCCAGCACACACAAGGCTGAGGCAGGAGAATCACTGTGAATTGAAAGTCAGCCTGGACTATGTAGTGAGACCCTGTCTCAAAAAGGAAATGGAGCCTAGTGGTAAACAGCACTGGGCCAAGTCACAGGTTTTTCTGAGCTGTAAAAGAAACCGCAGCCATGCGTGGTGGTGCATGCCTGTAATCCCAGCACTCAGGAGGCTGAGGCAGGAAGATCGTTGTGAGTTCGAGGCCAGCCTGGGCTACAAAGTGAGCCCAAGTTCAGCCTGAACTGCACAGCAGGACCCTGTCTCAAAAAAAAGACAAAAAGAGAAACCGAGCTTTCACTTTTTCTAACCACTGTACTTGCCTTCTTCAGGTAGTTGCTTTTTTTTATTATAAAGAAAATGTGTACATCCTAGCAGGAGCGAAGAAAGAGTCCCTTTAGGGATATTGGAGGACTCCCAGAGCCAGGGGTCACGTGGGCCTGGCCATCGCCTGTATCTGGAGTCCTGCCAGCTCCCAGACCGCCGTCTGTGGGCCATGTGCTCGCTCTTGCCCTCTTCCTGCATGTTGCCTCGGCCTCGCTGTGGAGGCCAGTTCTCTGTTTTCCCATGCACGGTAGGGAAGTGGCTCCCCTGGGCTGTCACTTCGTCTCAGCGTGGTGGCATCCGTATCCTGCTGTCCTGAGTCTTCATTCCCAGGAGGGCCGGCTTGTGTCAGGGCTCGGTCCCATTGCGACGGCTCTGCACACTTGCGCTATAGCCAACGGAGCTCCTGGTGGGTGAGGCAAGAGTTTCTGCAGAAAGGCTTAGGGTGCACACAGGACCAGCCTGGGGCCACTTGGCCAAGGATGCCGGCGGTTCTGTCACTTCATAGCTCCCGAAGTTACGCTGCATGAACAGGAGCTGAGTCTCTGAGAACACAGGTGCATGTTGCATTCTATTCGCCCTAAGGCTGGGGGCACCAGACTGTTCAAAAGGCTGCCGTTCAGTCCTGACAGTCTGGTGAGGTGGAGGTACTGCTGTGCACAGAGAGGGCATTCTAGAGCATTTCTCCTAGTGCAGAGGAAAGTTGGGTTTTTCCATTCATTTCCTTGCTAGCTAATTCAGTTGCATTGTAAAGGCCAAAGGGCTGAGCATACTCAGTAGTGTATCCTGCTCTGTCCCTCCAGGTGTGTGGCCATGCCCTCGTGAAGCAGTACCAGGCCCAGTTCTGGAAGATGGTACTTCTCATCAAAGAGGAATACTTGCTCAGGTAGCAGCTTGTGCAGCGGGCATGTGGATTTGGTCAAACTCATGAATCAGGTGTCGGGTCCCCTTGAGTGCTGTTTATCTCTTCCAAGGTTTGACTCACATTTAAAAATGCATTAAGGCTGAGGGTAGAGTGCTCGTTTCCTGTCCGATCCTTCTATTTGACTTGAACACATGGTTTTAAACTCTAATGAGAATCTCTCTCTTAAATCCTATTGGCTAAGCCAAGCACAAAGCAGAAGGTCTTAGACTAGGCACCTGGCATTTTAAAAGTATTCTTTTCCAGCCTCCCCCGGATAATCTGGGATGGCGTCACATGTCACAGAGGCAAGTGCCCTCGTTTAGTCAGGAGAAGAATCTGCTTTACTTTTCTCTCCTTGCTGAGACAAAATACCTGACATCCAAAGCTAAAGGAGGAAAGGTTTATTTAGCTCAGTTTGTAGAGGTGTCAGTCCATAGTTGGCTGGTGCCAAGGGAGGGTGGCATGGCAGATGGCATCACAGAGGAGAAACAGTACATGGCATGCAGAAGGTAGCAAAGCAAGCGAGGGACTTTCTGATGTATCCAGCCTACTGGGATTAGGGCAGTGCCAAACCAATCAGTGGACTGATCCAGCAATCACCCACCCTTTTTTTTTTGGCTTTTTTTCCAGTACTGGGAATTGAACTCATGACCTTGCTCTTGCCAGGCAGGCGCTGTGCCACTGAGCTAAATCTCCAGCCCCAATCACCCACCCTTAATCCTACCATGGTACCATGAATCAGTCACATACTCTAGAGTCAGCCACCTCTGAAAGCCCCACTGGGGACTGGTGAGGCTTTGGGGGACATCTAGACACAAACCGTAACACCCACCAGTTTGCATGAGTGGTATGGACCCCATCTCATTACGCCTCTCCTTCCTCTCCACCTGGGAGAGGCTCTGGCAAGGTCCATCCCACCTGATCACAAAGACCTCAGAGGGCAGCAGTGTTCTCTTGTCCTTTGGCCCTTGTTTGGGGCCATGTGGAAGAGGAGAGCGTCCATAGCCCAGAGGACAGTGCTCCAAGTCACTGGCTCTGCCCTTCGCCCCAGAGCAACAGGTTCCTGACCTCTGGAGGAGGTGGGCCCCATGGTGGGATTCATGGGACTCGGTTCTCTCCCCGTAGAATCGAAGCCGTCACAAGCTCGGGACAGATGGGCTCCTTCATACGCCTCAAGCAGTTCCTGGAGGTAAGCTGCCTTGGCCCAGCACATCCCGGCTCTTGGCCTGGACTGCTGCTCTGCTGAGAAGTCTGGACCTCCAGACACTGCTTGCAGCCTCTTTCTGAGTTTCCCAGACTCTACTCTTGGTTTCTGATTTCCCTTTTAGACTAAGGGCTGGTGATTCCCCTTCCTATGCATCATTCTCCATAGTTCTGTGAGGCAGCTGTCCTTGGATATGAGTCAGATATAACTAGTGACTCTTCCCTCACCAGCACTTTTTTTTTTTTTTTTTATTGGTTTTTCTCTGGTACTGGGAACTGAACTCACGACCTTGCGCTTGCCAGGCAGGCGCTTTGCAGCTAAGCTAAATCCCCAGCCCCCAGTACTTTCTTTTTGTGGTACCAGAAATTGAACTCAGGACCTTGTGCTTGCCGGGCAGGCGCTGTGCCGCTGAGCTGTATCTCCAGCCCGCCAGTACATTTTTTTGCATGTTGGCCAAGGTTCTTTTCTCAGTCTTGGGCCCAGGGCCCTGGTAAGCGTGGTTACTTTTCTCCGTGAGACTAGCCTGCACCACACTGAGCAACATTGTATGTGGGTTTGGTTTTTTTTTTGGTATCAGGAATCGAACTCAGGAGCTTGCGGTTGCCAGGCAGGTGCTTGTGCCACTGAGCTATATCCCCGGCCCCGGTGTGGGGTTTTTGTTACTGTTCGTTTTGTCAGGGTCTTGCTAATTACCCAAGCTGGACCCAAACTTGGGTCCCCTTGCCTCGGTCTCTGAGGCTGCTGGGGATTACAGTGTGGGCCACTCCAATCCACTACCAAGAAATTTTGTTTTGTTTTTTATTTTCGGTGGTACTGGGAATCAATGCAGCACTATGCCTGGCTTGCTGAGAGATTTGAGGGGTTCAGTTTTAATTCCACAATAAGCCTGCCAGGGGCTGGGGATTTAGCTCAGCGGCAAAGCGCCTGCCTGGCAAGCACAAGGTCGTGAGTTTGATTCCTGGTACTGGAAGGAAAAAAAAAAATACAAACCACAATAAGCCTGCCAAGGTAGCCAGCCCCCGACATCAGCGTGGTGATGGCTGAGACCAGTGTTCGCTCCGGCCTTGCACGGGACCATCGTTGTCCTCAGTGCCAGCCCTTTGCTTTTCTTGCCCACTGTTGTGCAGAACTGGACGTTGCTGCCCCTTGGTGTTCTCCCAGCCCTGTGTTGGGAGCAGTGTGATCAGAAACTCATTCTGGTTTTTCATCTTTCCCTGCCCAGAAATGTTTGCAGCGCAAGGAGATTCCTGTCCCCAAGGGCTTTCTGACTTCTTCCTTCTGGCGCTCCTGAGGTCCTTTCGTCGCCTGCCGTCTCCATTGTGTTGCAGCAGTAATAAAGTAACGGGAGGCAGCTGTGTTTGGAAGACGTTGTAGAAATTTGTCAGTGTGTGTTTTATGTGTTGGTACCATGTGGCTAGGCACATGGGGTAGCTCCTTAAGGCATCCACATGATAGCGTGATCGAAATTGCCTTTCTTAATTTATACAAGTCATGAGCAGAATCCTTCACCACTTGGTCTCTTCCTTTGCTTCTCTTGCCTCTCGACCCTGTGGGGAGCTGTTGATGTCGTAACCGTTTCACCCTGAGCAGGACTGAGCCACCTCTTTAACAGGCCCCTGATGCCACCGTTCCCATGAAAGCCCCTTTGAAGTGTTGGCATGCAGGCGGGGCTGGTGGTGGGTTAGCCTCTCTCAGATGAGGAAGGGATTGTAGACGCAGAGCAAGTGTGTGCTCTGGGCAGGGCTGGAGTCCCAGAGTACACCAGGGGGAGCTGGGTGTCCAGGATGAGGACGGGAATCATGTCACGTTGGACAGCAGAGGACTTTCTGTCCCCTTAATTTGGAATCTGCTTCCTGCAGTGCTAGGGATGGGTGCACCAGAGTAGGTACCTTTTTTGATTTGTTTTTAGTTTGTATTATGTACTGTAGTCCAGTGTAGTGGTGCACACCTATGATCCCAGCACTCAGAAGGCTGATGCAGGAGGATCGCTCCAAGTGTGAGGCTGGTCTGGGCTACAGAGTTGAGTTTAACTCCAACCTGAACTCCACAGTGAGAATCTGTCTGAAAAACAAAAGCAGGAAAAGCTGGACTGAGATGGGGCTTGTAACACGCATGTGCTTAGTGTCCCAACAGCAGCAGTAGTCAGGGTTGAATGCAGGCATCTGGGAGGAGTTCGGAGGTTCTGTGTAACCTTTTGACGCGTTCTGAGTAATGAATGATGATTAGTTTGCCGGCCTAAAGCCGCTGCAGAAGTCCTGAGAGTGGCTGTTGACATCAAAGTCAGGTATGTTGTATGGAAAGACTCTTAAGACTGCAGGGCCAGCAGCAGGCTCCACTTCCGACGCCGGCGCATTGTGGTGTGTGTCACAGGTTATTCCGGGGCGGCTCGGTGGGTCCCGTTCTGTGACCTGTTGGCTGTGGTGCCAAAGTAAATAATAAAGCTTGATTTTTAAATAAATAAATAAATAAGCCCAGTGCTGATACGTAGTTTGTTCTGTAGGATCAACTGCCTATGCCTTAAGTTGTGTGATCGCTGGGGGCCTGGTGGGTAGTTCATAAGCCCAGATCTGGAGCAATACGTGTTTCCTTCTTATCCTTCAGAAAATTGCTGCTTTTCTTTTTAGGAGTTATGTACCAATAGCTGGCTCTGGGTGTGTGTGTGTTTTTTGAGACTTCATGGTTTGTGGTTCATGCTGGCCTTGAAATCACTATGTAGCCCAAGCTGGCCTCAAATTGTTTTTTTTCTTCTGGTACCAGGGATCAAACTCACGACCTTGCGCTTGCCAGGCAGGTGCTTTTACCATTGAGCTAAATCCTCAGCCCTAAGCTGGCCTCAAATTTGCAGAGGTCCTTCTGCCTCAGCCTCCCAGGTGCTGGGATTACAGGTGTGAGCTGTCACCTCCCACCATCTGACTTATTTATCTAGCAAAAGATGTGAGGGGCTAGGGATGCAGCTCAGTATTACAGCACCTGCTTGGCATGTGAGGCCCTGGGTTCCATCCCCAGCATCCCTGAAAGAAGATACAGAAGCATTGTTTTGTTAATGTAGACACGGGGCAGTGAACACAGAGAAGGGGTCAGGATTCCTGGGCTTCGCTGACCTTGAGCTTTGGGTAGGTCACGCTAATGCTTTCTGAACTTCAGTGTTCCCTCCTTGCAAACAGAAATTGCTTGGTTTGGTGGCGGGCGCATGCCTGTAATCCCTGCACTTGCGGAGGCTGAGGCAGGAGGATTGTCGTTAGTTCAAGGCCTGCCTGAACTACAAAATGAGATCCTTTCTCAATAAATGAATGCAACCTGTCACAGGAGCTTTCAGATGATGCTCAGTAGCAGCAGCCTGGTGGGGCCTAGCTTCCTGGCCAGTGCGTTCTGCATGCCAACCTCAGCCTGTGGGGCTGTGGGACAGGGCCTGTGATGGGTGTGAAGCTCCCTCCCTGTTAGCACTCAAATTCCTCTTTCGTGAGCCCTGGAAGTGCAGCACTTTATGCATCTGGCAGGAACAGGCTGGGAAGCACTGACTGCAGGATGGTAGGGGAGGGGTGCTGGAAGGCTGGGGATGAGTCTGGAGCAGATGGAGGCTCTGCCAGGTTTCTAAAAAGCATCCCTTCAGGACACCACTGCCCTCTACTGGAAAATGTGCGTGCTGACCCCTGAAAGCCCGAGGAATTGGCTGGTGAGCAGTGCCCACCAGAGCTGGGCAGCACCTCTCCCACTGGAGCTCCGGTCCTGCGGGACAACATCTTTGCTGTGTGCGCGGTGTATGGGATTCCATGTAAGATTAGCTAAAGAGAAGCCTCTCTGTCAAAACTGAAATGTGGGCCAAGCATGGTGGTGCACACCTGTGATCCCAGCACTCTGGGAGGCTGAGGCAGGAGGCTTATAAGTTTGAGCCCAGCCTGGGCAATTTAGCAATTTAGTGGGACCTTGTCTCAAAAAATAAAGAAGTTGGAGGCATAGCTCAGTGCATAGGCCCTGGGTTCAATCTTCAGTAGCACAAGAAAGATACAGTCTTGCCTTTGCCATTTGATGCTGGTATTCCTGATGGATTCTCAGGTAATCCAAGAAAGAAGGGCACCGGGGGGCCAGGGTTCTGATATCCCTGATAGTGTCGCCTCGGAGACCTCGATCGCTGTAGCCCTGTTGGCAGGAGCATCAGATTCCTCACGGTAGATGCTCAGGGCTGCATTGGCTTGCAGCTTGCAGGCTCGTCTGCTTGTTTCCTTCCAGCTTGGCCTCATTTCTCGGGCCGAGTGCCGTGCTCCTGTCATATCATCGTCCTGCATCACCTCAGAGCAAATCTGAGGACTCCAAGCGGACAGAAACCGCAGGTCTTGGGGCTGGGGATATAGCTCAGAACAAGGTCCTGAATTCAATCTCTGGTACCAAAAAAAGAAAGAAACCACAGGTCTGTCGTGCAGAAGAGTGCTGCTGCTCTGGTGAGTCCGCCTGGTGCTGCAGCTTCCCCTCCTCAAGCATCTGGCGGTGACGGTGACAAAGTCAAGGTCTAGAACCAAGAACCTGAAAAGGACATGGATGACAAAGGTTGCCTTGAATCCATTAACTTGTAGCCAGGTAGAAAGTTGATTCGAAGCATGTGTTGCAAAGTACTTCCTTCTCACATGGAGTAAGCAATTGGGACGGAAATTTAATTACTGGAGTGCCAGGCAGGGTGATACCCACCTGTCCTCCCAGCACTCAAGAGGCTGAGGCAGGACAGTCATGAGTTCGAGGCCAGTCTGGGCTACATAGTGAGTTCAGAGCCAGTTTGAACTTTGTAGCAAGACAATGTCTCAAAAAGAAAAATAATTTTTAAAAATTCACTGGAGAATGTGACTAATTTTTTGTTTTGTTTTTTTCTGATACCGGGAATCGAACTCACGACCTCGCGCTTGCCAGGCTGGCACTGTGCCGTTGAGCTAAATCCCCAGCCCCAGTGTGACTAAATTCTTAAAGAGTGCTTGCTTAGCCAGGCGTGGTAGAGCACACCTGTAATCCCAGCACTTGGGAGGCTGAGGCAGGAGGATCATTGTGAGTTCTGGACCAGCCTGGGATACAAAGTGAGCTCAAGGCCAGCCTAAACTATAGCAAGACCTTGTCTCAAGAAGACCACCCCCCCAAAAAAAGTGCTTGCTGTATGAGTTAAGCTAAAAACTATAGTTATAGGAAAGCAAAAGATTTATTTAAGGCAGAATTTACCAGTGTTTTTTCTGCAAGGTCCTACAAAAGAGTTTGACAGCCAAATAAATTTGGGAAATACATTAAAGATAAACCAGCCAAGCATGTTGGCTTCTAATTCCAGTACTTTAGGGGGCTGAGGCAGGAGGATCTCAAGTTTGAGACCAGACTGGGTACATTAGCTAGACCTGTCTCAAAAGTAAAAGTAAAAAAAGGACTGTGAGGCCGGGCATGGTGGCACACGCTTGTAATTCCAGCACTCAGGAGGCTGTAGCAGAAGAATCACTGTCAGTTCAAGGCTGGCATGAACTACATAGCGTGACCCTGTCTCAAAAAGAAAAAGAAAAAAAAAAGGTCTGTGGATGTAGCTAAGTGCAAAAGCCCTGGGTTCAAGGCATGCATGGTGGCACATGCCTGTAATCCTAGGACTTAAGAGGCCAAGGCAGGAGGATTGCTGTTAGTACAAGGCCAATTGGAACTACATAGACCCTGTCTTAGGAAGAGAAAAAATCCCTAGCCTTAGTTCCCAGTATGGAGAGAGAGAGACAGACACAAGAGGGAAGAAAAAATAAAAAGGTAAACTAGGAAAAAGCAAGCCAAGTGTGGTGGCACATACCTGTGATCCTACTTGGGAGGCTGAGGCAGGTAGATCACAAGTTCAAGGCCAGCCTGGACTATATAGTGAGACCCTGTCTCTCATATAAATTAATGAGCGCTGGAGATGTGGTTCAGTGGTAAAGCACTTGCCTAGCATGTACTTGTCCCTGGGTTCAATCCCCAGTACCACACATACACACAAAAAAAAATAAAAACCAGCCAGGCATCATTGCTCGAGAGTGTAATCCCAGTACTCAGGAGGCTGAGACAGGAAGATCATGAGCCTGGACTACATAGTGAGACCATGTCTCAAAAACAGAAACAAAAAAATGGCCAATCGGGCTGGAGGAGAGTGCAGGTACAGCATCAGCGCTGTGGCCCAAAGGAAGGTAAAGCAGGTGAGAGAGCCACGATCAGTAATTGTTGAAGGTGGGTAATGTTCACATAGAAACAGCCCATGGTGGGTACACAGACAGGGCTAGCAAGAGACTTACTGCAGGGGCAGCCATGCAATCACCACCACCAGCAGGCCCAGGAAGGCTGAAGGCACCTGCACTTCCTGTCGGATTCCAAAGGCCGGGGAACCAGGGAGCTGATGGTG